ACACGTCCGTGTTCCCCGTTCCTATCTCGGCGAACCTACAGGTAGCCACTTATGCGCTTGGAGAACAGGCAGCAGATATCATTGGGTCGAGTTTATGGCGTAACGTGTGGTATTGGTGATTGTCATGGGTCGAGAACAAATGCTGCTATGAAGTTTACGGGTCATTCAAATCGATGCCACTTATGAACAAAAAGGTCGTTGCTTGAAAGGTATCTTCTTGATTCCATCTGAGAAGTGAAAGAAAGTCGGAGGGAATTGTCGGCAGTGAAGCTTTCATGTCAAGTCCGAGTACGCACTTGATTGGGCATTGATGTAAGAACAATACATGTAGAGAAGCTTTGCTCTACACACGCGCCAATGGAACATATCATAACATGCAATCAGCATGATACTGACTACATGATGAGGCGCTTATTCACTCATACAACCGGAACTCTTAGATTAATACGATTCACAGGTGCGGAGTTCACATTAGCCACTGCCTACCGGAGCTCCTAGATGCATGGTATCGAATGTCGAGGCATCTTGGACATCTCTATGAGATGTTAACGATGTCTTGTCAGTAATCTTTTGCCTAACATAGCTTAGAGCCAACCCGGACGACATGTAGTGTGCCGATGTCGGTGGCAAAGCAACTCAGTCAACTGATGACTGTGGCTGGGATTGTGAGCCAAGATCGCAGTGCAAGCTATCTCCCTTGGTATAACATAATTTGTATTATCGCATCGAGCTACAAAGGGACAAAATGTGTAACAAGACTGGCACACTCTAAGTCCAGCGAGTGGCTCAGCAACGCGATCTCTTCCTCTTCACAAATACAACCCCACCATTACCTGAATCTTGATCTCTCTCTCTCTCCTTCCTCGACTGTGCCAAAGTAATCCATAGGACCATTTTTTTCCTTCATACACATGTTCAGATTAAAGACTTTGCTTTATTACCAAGATGCGAAACGATGTCGACAGAAGATGACAACGACAGCGAACCCTGCCGCATTCGAAGTGGCAACGATGATGAAGAGAGAATGAACACAATGACCGAGAGCATGGAGAAAATTCTTGACATCAAAATCGAGAGTATTGACGATTTCCCAAAGCTCTCTTGTCACCCCAAAGATCAGACCGCTTCCAATCCTCTTGGCCCTTCACCCCGCATTGGACACGAAACTAACCTCGACCGGAGAAAGTCCTCTTATTACCTCATAGGAGGAATTGCTCGTGGCCCACTGGAAGAATCCCTTTGTCATGACAGTAAGTTTGCCTCAGATCACCCGAATGACTCTCCCTATTTGGAGACGGAAGACTCTTCCCCTTCTCCGAAGTCCTGTTGTAACCTAAAAACGGAAGGTACTTCCAATCACTTGGAGACCACTCCTTGTCTGGGGAAAGAATCTACTCCAGATGGCCTAGTAGCTGAGACTGCTTCGGACTCTCTGAAGATCTCTTCTCATTTCGAAAATAAGGCTGTCTGCGATTACTCAAAAACCAGTTCTCGTCTGAAATCTTTACCAGCCAAGCTTCGGTTTCTTCTTCTATCGTGAATGTCGGATCTACCGACGCTTCATAGTGTTATAAATGCATCTCCTGTGCTGCATGCACAGTACAGGAAGACCCGCGATACTCTGCTTTTCACCTGTTTGAGCAAGGAGCTTGATGGGTATTATATTGACGCCTTCGCCATCCTTAGGTCTCGGGTAGCAATTTTCGGACGGAAGCGAACCGACGATATGTGCGAACGGTTCCTGTCCGACGCTTGTGATACCGTACTCTCAGGGAAACATAATGTTGGAGATTTCGACAGACCTAGCGGCGGTCAAATTCGCTGGATGACGGCTTTTCATGTTTCTGTAGCTCGACCCATCGCTCGTCTGTACGCGAATTGGGCGCTTGGAAACCTCCGGCAGGTGGTGTTATCTGTATTGTAATTCACGTCGGGGGAGACATTCCGACAAGAACAGAAGCCGACAACGTCACAAGTCTTAGCCGAAGTGAGGAGATACGCATCTACAGGGCAATCTACCGCTTCGAGACATATTGCCATTTATTCGGTCGAAACAGGGGTGTGCAGTCCTATGGCTTTCGGAGTGATATGATTTGTGATACTTTCTTCGGAAGCTTTGATCCATGGAACGTAGAGGCGTTTGTGTCCATCTACCTATTCATCAAATCCAAGTACGACAGACTTTCAGATGAGGTGAAGGATGACGTTGCGGATACCAATCCCAAGATTCGATGATCGAAGTTCGGGGCTGACACCTGCCAGGGACAAACTTGAAAGGGCCAAGACTTCGCTGAAGTTCATGGGTGTTAGCGTGCCACCTTTTTCACCACCGCTGGCGTGGGTCCTGTCATGGAATGAACAGTACTCCAACGTTCATGGAGGGTTTGCGCCAGAAGAGTTAAGGCGATGGGGCTATGTAATGTGAGATGAGCAGCAATGGAACGAAATGGGAGGCGGAGCGAAGAGCCTCATTCGCGAACAATGGAAGTCTCACCCTAAAAGTCTTGTTGAGACCATGGAGACTGTTGTGGTCTGGGGGTTGAATGGTAACGCCGACGACGCCGACGACATTACAGACGATATGGAGGGATACTCTCAATTTACTCACTGGATTCCAAGGGTTGATCACTTAACATAGTTGGGGAAAGATCCATAGATGAATCCTTCACTTCTCATCCCCAGCGTGGTATTCTGGATAGAGCCCAACTCTGAGGTGTGCCAAAGGCAGGAGTGCTATGAACTTATGCCTCCACCAATATCTTCGAGACAATACTGATGAATGTGACTTGCTCCATGTTGCAGTGGAGATTGTTCGGCCCAAAGTTGATTGCGTGCCGACTTGATCACATGACGTCAGAAGATAAGATGGGGATGAAGTGCGGGCAGTGTCCGACAACGGGGATCAAGATGCGACTCACTCGGACTTATTGAGAACATAGTCTTTAGTCTGATTTTCGCAGACTCAAAATCAACAAGCTAACACACTTCCGTATTGCAGAAATGGCCGCCTCAACAGGGTCATACCTCATCATAGGCGCTGGCGTTTTTGGCGCCTCCACAGCCCTGCACTTAGTCCGTGCCTATCCCGACGCCAGCATCACCCTCGTCGACCGTAACGCCTATGACGCCCCGATCCGCGTCGCCGCCTCCTGGGACTGGAACAAGGTCGTGCGCGCCGACTATGTTGATATTGAGTACATGCGCCTCTGCCTCGAAGCCAAAAAGTACTGGTCCGAGGACCCGATCTGGAAACCATACTACCACGAAAGCGGCGTCTACTGGGTCTCGCCAAACAACTTTGCAGAACAAATGCAAGAGAACTACAAGAAGCTCGGAGTCGACTCTGGGTTGTTCTCTTTCTCTGTCGAGGAGGCGAAGAAGCAGTATGGCGGCATCTTCAAGGATGCTGATTTCACTGATGTGAAGGAGGTCTTTGTCAATAAGAATAGTGGATGGGGTGAGGCGAAGGAGGCATTGCAGAGAACGATCGAAGAGGCTGTGAAGCTCGGGGTGAAGTACGTTGAGGCAGAAGTTGAAAAAATCGAGTTCGATGACGATGGTGCTGCAACCGGTATCAAGACGTCAAAGGGCGAGAGTCTTACCGCCTCACGAGTTATTCTGTCAACAGGCGCTTACACGGCTAAGTTGCTTGCTGATAGCGCACCCGCAAGAAAAGACCTTCAAGCTGGTGACAGGTTCGTAGCAGCAGCTGTTACCGAGGGGTTTACGCCTGTCTCTGGGGAGAATGCAAAGGACTATTACGACGGGCCAGTTGGCATCTCCATGGTGCCTCCATCGAGAGGTATGGAAGAGTTGGCTCCAACTCAACCCCGCTGTGTTTTTAATACTAAAGTTTATCCTAGGCGCAAGCAACGGAAGTGTTCCCCATTCCAAAGACAAGACCTTGAAATTCTGGGGTCAGATCATCTTCAGAAACACTCAGACTCATGCAAACGGAAGCCAGATATCTGCACCTCCCCCGGCAGTTGACTATGCGCAGCTCGAGGTACCAGATACTCTGAAAGAAGATGTTGACTATGCTGGAAAGAGCCTGTTTGGGAAAGGAAGCGAAACATTCAAGAACGAGAACTATCGTATCTGCTGGTATGTATGGAGGCTCCTGAAGGACTCGAGTCAAGATGAAAGATGCAATGTCTTGCTAATACATGTGTTAGGGAGGCTGTCACGCCCGATGAAGACTTTATCATCTCCCCACACTCTGCAAGCAAGAATCTCTACGTCGCAACCTGTGGATCTTTTCACGGCTGGAAGTTCCTGCCCATCCTGGGTAAATATGTCGTGCAGATGCTCGACGGATCTCTCGAGGAGACTTTGGTAAAGAAGTGGTCATGGGACCGAACATTCCCATCGCCCACTCACAGGGCCTGGCCTAGAAGAGAATTGAGCGGTCTGAAGTAATTGCTTCCAGCGGAAAGAAATGTAGGATTGGTGGCTAGCAGATGATAATGAGATAAAGAGGGAGACCTGATCGATAAACTCGTCCATTATTAGTGCTTCAAAGATAAGCGCAATTTGTTAATTTGTTTCGCGATCATGCCACCCCTGAAGATGCGGCACATGGTCATCATGAGCAAGTGGACGTTAATCTTAGAAAGAGCCAATTGGCAAGTCGATGGGACCCGTCCCATCTCCCCACCGTTGTAAGTGACGATCGACACGGCTGCATGTAAGTAACGAACTTGCGCGAAAGACTGCTAGACAGTTGTAAGCGTGGCGTCTCGTATCTGCCGCTATGCGCGCTGCTGCGAGACAAAAGCAACCTAACCTGGCCATTGTGACGCAGCGCAGGAAACGGCGTGGAAAGGCTTCGGATCAGGAGACATGTGCTGGTGCCTTGGCGTCCTTCACATGTATTTGATAATCACTGCAGCTCGCCTAAGTGCCTAAGCTGAAGATGTCAACTAAGCTTACTGCTTTGATCTCGCATTGGCACCAACTTCGCCCAAGGCGGGAACGTTAAGTTCAATCCACAACTAGTCATGCCTCTTCTCTTCTTCATCATCGTCGGCCAACTTTTGAGTCTCGCACTGGCAGGCACTCAGATGGAATCCTCAAAACTAAAAATAGATGTGCATGCGCACTACGTCCCAGACTTCTATGCGCAAGCGCTCAGAGACGCTGGGCATTCACCTGGGCCCGATGGCATGCCCGGGATTCCCGTCAGTATTTATCCCTACGAGCACCTGGAAAGGCTCTGCGATATGCTTATACGGGGTGATAGGAATGGACGCCCGAGGCACATCTCAACTTCATGGGTGCCCAGGATATCGAGAAATCGTACTTGTCCATCTCCAGCCCGGGGGTATACCTGTCCGTACCATCAAAGTACGCGACTGAGAAAGCCATCAAACTCGCACGTCAAGTAAACGAATATGCATCAGGATTAAAATTCAAGTATCCCGACAATTTTGGCTTCTTTGCATCCCTTCCCCTCCCAGATGTGAGCGCGTCCGTCGAAGAAATCAAATACTGCTTCACCCAACTCGACCCGAAACCTGACGGCATCGTGCTCATGTCCAACTTTTACGGGATGTACCTCGGCGACCCGGACCTCGATCCAGTGTACAAGGCACTGAACGAGGTGAACGCCACAATCTTTGAGCATCCTACCGCACCTTGTACCGAGCACAACCACTTGAGATTCTCAATCGACGGAGAAGACCCCGGTATCGCACCGCCGGAATGGCTTACCCTGAACAGACCGGTGGCAGGACGGCAAGGACGAGCGCCGACAATCGACTTCCCCTTTGACACAGCACGCACATTTGCAGACTTATTCTACTCCAAGATTCCGACGCGATTCCCTCGCATCAAGTGGATTATGCCTCATGCCGGCGGCGGTCTCGTTCCTACTCTGGATCGGATTCTCAGTTATAGCACGCCCGATGTCAATCTCACGGAGTCGTTTATGAAAGCTACATTAGCAAAAAACTTTTACTTTGACCTTGCTGGACCTTGGCCGGTTATCTGGGCGATTCCTCCATTGCTTCGGTGGGTGAGCTATGAGAAGCTGTTGTGGGGGACGGATACGCCTTTCACGCCTTGGGCCATGGCTGAGGCTGGGAGAGTCAAGTTTGATCAAGATATTGAGGAGGCTTTCAACGACACCAGCAAGGTCGAAGCTGTGAGAAGGAGCAATGCTGCGAAACTATTCGGATGATGCATTGGTCTTTCGGTGTCATCAATCTGTGGGCCTAAAGCCAGGTTATTTCTATCAGAAGCCTTGGTGCTGATAGAGTGGGATTATTTTGGTATCATTCACAAGACCGATACAGAAAGCTTCTAGCTACGCCCACATCTATTATCAGTATACTTTCCGACAGAAAGCCTACTCATTGGTGAGCGTATCATCATAAGCCCTTCACCGAGGTTCCCTCGCGTTGTCTACAAGTAACATACCTGAAAACATTATCATATCAGCACCAATCGATGAAGCATTTGGTGCAACGGAAGTCGTTGATTGTAGTTATCTTATCCGGACAAAGAGTTGAGACCCCGAGGCTCGACATGCCAAACAAGGCATTTCTTGCCGGACTGGTGGTGTGGGTCTCCACATCGCCGACCAATATAGTACGAACAACGGACACCATCGTCACGTAAAAAATTGGATGAGACGGCGTCTTGTTCTTAGCTCACCGGAGTCGGAATAGGAGGGGTAGATGACGAATGATATAAACCCCCACGAACACAATTCTTCATCACCAACAACACCGTAGAAACTGTGTGCCTTGTAGACGACAACTTTTCTAAGTTTCTGTGCCGTAACAACAAAGGAAACGCAAAGAAAGATGGCATCAAAAGCTCCAGAATCGCCCCTCATAGTAGACCTCAAATCTTCCACAACAAATCCCCCAGAATCATTTCCCGAACAGTCCCGCGGCAACGCAACATGGCACACCCTCGTCTCCGCCCCGGGGACAGTAACCGACTCCCTCAGCTCCGGCGTGGCGACCTGCCCGCCCAACGGAAGCCTGGCGCTACACCGCCACAAGCAGGCCGAGATCTACTACGTGCTCTCCGGTAGCGGACAAGTCGAGATCAACGGCGTCCGGCACGCCGTATCCAAGGACCAGCTAGTGTGGATTCCCGGGGACGCGGAGCACGGTGTGTTTTGCGACGGCGGGGAGACCATGACGTGGCTTTATGTTTTCCCGGAGGGCAGGTTTAGTGATATTGTGTATCGGTTCAAGCATGAGGTTTTGGGGGAGCCTGAGGTTCGGGCGAAGCTTTGATGGGGGGAATTTGGAGTGAGCTACATGTTTATGTGTAAGGAGACACGTCGGGAACATTGAAACTGGATACTTACGAGCGAGGTCACTTGGGAGAACTTCAAAAGCTACGGAAGCTTGATCGAAAGATACGTAATATTCAACGAGGGCTGGGACTCTCAATGCTCTGCATGCACGTTCCTCTCATATCGTGCTCTCTGGATATTCACTGCGCAGTAGGAGCAAGAGCCTCAAACTCCTTGACACCAACCCCACCAAACTGCCCATTCCCACCAGAAGCCACCAAAACCGCACGAATACTCTTGGTCGAAACCTGGTTAAAGTTGACAATCGCAGGGTTATCCGTAACAGCAGTAGGATACGCAGACGTCGCCGTGACCGCGATCCACGCACCGCTCCCGTTCAAGTACTCGATCCGCCAGCTCGCAGGAGGCGGCACCCCGATATTCGACCCAGCAGGCTGGTCAGCGAAAAGCACCATCCTCGCCCCGTTCAGCGTCACCGCCAAAGGCCACGTCAACACTAGCGTGTTGGTCTGCGGGGAGGCGGCGCCGTCGTAGGAGCACCAGTAGTCTGGCGGAAGGGGGTTCCCGGGGATCCATGCGTCGTTGATCGATTTGATCCAGTACTGAATTGGGGTGCGGTTTACGGAGCTTGCTGTGGCTTTAGTCGCGATGTTGCGGGTTGCCGGCGCGGCGGGCTGAGCGCGACGCGTCTGGATGACTTTGTTGATACGCGGGGGTGACTGGTTGTCGTCCCAGGTCATGGAGTCTAGGGCTATGCTGCGGCGGAAGTGGCCGCCTCCTGTGGCATCTCGGGTGTGGTAGATTAGGTACCACTGGCCGTTCAACTCAAAGGCACCCGGGTGTGACGTGGTTGAAGAGACGATGTCTAGCATCACGCCCCTGAAGGTCCACGGGCCTAGGGGCGAGGAGGCGGTTCCGTAGGCGATACAGGCATGATAGGATGTCGGGGTGCATGGCGAATCTGGGCCGGCGTTGTTGGCGGCGTAGAGCATGTAGTACGTTCCCTTACGCTTAAGAAGCCATGGAGCCTCGAAGAAGCCCGTTAAGCTGTTGACTGATGTGGCTTGTCCGATGGTTGTGACCATATCTGTCGCGAGTTCGATGCCACGGAGCTGACCGAATGTGCCCCAGTAGAGATAGACCCTCCCAGTATCGTCAAGGAGGACTGTCGGATCGATATTCTGAATGGTGTTCCCTGGCGATGGGACGGACTGCGAGACGATAGGCCCACTGGGGTGAGCATCTGTGAAAGGACCCCAGGGGTTGGCCGAGACAGCAACCCCGATAGCGAACCGATCAGAGTTCGAAGTTGAGGCCTGCGTGACGGGGGCGTAGAGGTAAAATCTCTTGTCCGGGCCCTGCACGATTTGAGAGGCGTAGGCAGTTCCGGCCGCAGCCCACTTGAAGACGGATTCCGGGCGGGCAATATTGGTTCGTAGCTGCCACTGGGCCCCAGAGGGGCGCGGCTCGGTGCTGCTGAGCATCTCCCACTCGTTCATGATGAAGGCATTTTGGTTTGCGGGGGCGGTGTCTCGGCCGGTGAGAATGTAGACTGTGTTGTTCACGACCAAAGGGGCTGGGTCTGCTGTGTAGTAGGTTCCATCGGCAATGATGGGGTTTCCGGTAGATGTGATTGTTGTCTGTGCCTGGACCGCAACGCATAGGCCTTGGAGGAGAGCGACGACGACGGAGGCTAGAGAAGGCATTTTGATGATAGCCTGAGCGAAGGATGCAGATGAGCTGTAACGGCCGTAAGCACTGACAAGTAAAGTGGGAGAGAGTCGAACCAACGTCGAATGCCAGCTTATATGGCTTGAGATCTTCTACGTTGAAGGACTTGTTTAGGGCTGTAACTTGGCTGATTGAACAAGACCGATCAGTTGCAGGGATAGAAATAAGTATCGTTGTTGCTCATGTGCGGAGACTTCACGGGATGTGACACTGGAGGTGCATATTTTTTCGTTCCTCGTATCATGACATGTATAAGTCAACATACCCACTTCCTGGCACCCCCCTGTTTCTGGCACCCACAAAAACGCGAAAATCCACCACAACCCAATGCCCACCCCCAACCTCCTTTTATCACAACATTTTCAATTCGCGTCCAAATGGGCTCATCTTTTGCACATGTCTTCTTCTATATATAATGCCTCAATATACCGAAGATCAGCTTCGTCAGGCTCTCGAGGA